AATGATATTTTAGCTCAGTGTTTCTTTTTTAATCTGTATTTCGTTAAAGTCAATGGTCTCCGTATAATTTTCCCTTTGTTTATCATTTGCCAAAGTGCTTTTGATTTTGAGTTCAAATTATGGTTTTATTGACACTTCGGTGTTCTCTAGTTTTTGTTGTTGTCTGTTTGTTTCTTGTTTCGATATATCTCCAACAAAAACAGCGGAAGGCAATATGGTTACGTAACCTCAAATAGTCTTCAAGCATTGAAGCTGACAACGCACAACACGTTCATGTCCTATCCGCAAAACTAATGCTGTCCTGAATTGCAAAGTTTGAATTACTTCAGCATTAAATGAAACAAAATGTAAGTATTGGAATATTCTATCTGGTTCGGGGTTGCTTAACAAGCAAACCCAACATCCTTTACATTTTGCATTTTAAACTACAAGAATCTTTTTTAATAACCATATCAATGCTTACCTGTAGTGACGAAATTGAGTAAAAACAAAATCTGAAAAGTCCCCATTTCGATACTTCTGCGACCGATGGGGCTTGCTGTTCAGGCGCGTTCTGCTCTACTCTGCTCTACTGGTTCAGATTAAGCGGGATTTGCAATGGTTTGGTAGATCGTGAAAATCGATATGGTCATTATATATGTCTATATATACTAATCGGGCATTAATGATAAAAGCTCACTGAATAACCGATATTAATGGTTATCTTTACTGTGGGGACATAACAATTATATAAAGGTGTCTTTATTTGTAGTACCATTATACGAGCTTCAGCTCTTGTGTCGGTGATGACAGCCACTATATTGTTCGACGACCTATTTGCCTACATTAGAAAGACTTAACCGAATGCGATCCTTTAACAATGGCCTCAGTCGTTACGAAACCAAAGTCAGTCTGGCGGCTAGATCTAAAGAGAAAGGGTATACCACATTCTACCACGTTGAAACGAAACTTTACCGTGGATAATAACCTTATATTATTGGTCGATATACTAACAAGCGAGTCGTTTGATTGGTTGCCTTTGTCTAATGATCGTACTAGCAGTCACTGTTGTATGTACGTTTTTCGTATTTGAACTTTGCTAGTGGACAAGCAGAAATCTTTCTACTTAATCTCTAGATTTACTTAGTTATTCCGCCGAACTTACCGCGAAGGTGACTTTTAGTACTGTTTTCAATGTTGGTAGAATAGACATAATTTACTTATATGAAAATTTAATTATTTTTCCCAAAACATTTATCACCCGCGTTGTTTATTCCATAATAATGCACGCACATACGCTGGTTATTTCGCAAGTAAATGACGAAGATCAAGCTTCTGAGATTCAGAAATCGGACCGTTGCTTATAATATCATAGCTTCGTAGGGAAAACTGTTGTACTAAATATATGTAGAGATGAAACAAAGAATATACAGACCTTAAGTCAATTTGGATTCAGTGCGGTTGTGTGTCCGATGTAGAGAAGCTGAAGTAATTTACAGAACAATAAAGTTGAAATGAAAAAAGCTGGGAACTCGTGCTGGCGTTAGAGGAAAGGATCCGACATTGTTTATGACCCTTTAGAGAGAAAACTGTGAAGAGGAAGAAATAAATTACTACAAAGACAATGAACAAATGTTTTCGCCGGAGCAAGTCTAAAATGGAAACTAAATCTGAAATATAGATACGGTGGAATTAGGAAAGTAAAAGAAACACAAATGATAGAAAATAGCATTGTGATGAAAGATTCAAAGAAGGATGGTGAAAATCAAAGTAATATGAAGAACACCGCAAACAGACACTTACTTTTCAGAGAGTTACGTGCCTATAATTTGAAAACAATGGGTAATGTTGTACAGACATATTGCTTTAGTTTACCAATCAGCGGTCATGTAAAATGTTTAATGGAAGTTTAGGATTATTCTGTTTGCACAGATTCAGTCAGCAAACACGACGTTTATTTAGTCGATGGATTTTATTCCCCTCGGTCACTTTATATCACGATTTTTATATTAAAACAATATTTAATTAGACAATCAGTTGTATAGCCGTCTACATATAGTTATATCGAACGGCGTGTTGTTTCCTTCTTCGCTAAATACAGTGCTGTTTCGCAATGAGTTACTGTGTCAATATTAAAATGATGAGAATATGATGAATAGATTCCGAGATATTGTTCTGCTTAAAAGCTCTTGAATTTAACATTAAATTGTTTTACTTAGCAAAAATTGTATGCGAGTTTTCGAATATTTCCTGAAATTCGATCTGGAAAGCACTTTATATCTATGTCCACCTCTAGAAGAACAGTACCTGGTCTATTGCCTCTCTCATCGCATCGCCAATCCTAGGGTACATCCAGCTCGGTGGCGGTAGCTATAATATGTTTGGCTTCGACAAACCATATCACTATATCAGGACTTCTGCACCATATCTAGAATTAACAATTTATTGACAAAGTGTACTCTCATCACCATGTTTCTGTTGCCCGGTGCAGATCTATTCTCTTTCTCTTCTGCTTACACAACCCGGATCAAGTTCGTGGTGGTCGCTTATTCTTCCTTTATTCTTTCCTTATTCTTCTCGCAAACATCTGCCAATTCTCAAAACATATCCGGTCTTAGCTCTTCCAGTACTGCTCCTACCTTTGTGCTGTTTGCACTGAAAGGATATGACTCGTGACTCACATTCTTGACAATGCTTTAACTTCGGCTTCTCAGCTAACCCCTCAATGTTTCATAGCGCCACAGGTATGTCCCTCTCTTGTAGCTTACATCTTTTCATACCACTTGCGAGCCAATTTCGAAAGTCATTGCTTTCCTGTTTCATTCTTCTTTTCCCTTGAACCATTAGATCTGTTCTATTGACTGCTCCTTTCCACTACTGGAGATGCTTTGTCTTCAACCATTGCTGTCCTGAGCAGGTTCCTCCGACTCCCTCACCCTGATACACAGACTCGCTTGGAGACCATTTCCTTCCTGTTTATGTCTACATTCCTGTCTGTCTTATTTTTTCATCCTTTAGATCTTGCATGGTAATCACCAGTCTGGCCTTTGTGACTTTGAATTCCTTCACCACCGGTGACAGCTTGAGTAGCAGTAAAGATGCTCGGCTGCTGAGCACAATGCAAGAGATACTGGCCAGAATCAAAGCCACCTCTGCAGGAACCTGCTGATGGATCCCTCCAGTATTTCCGCTGTTGTCAAAGGAACCTCAAATAGCATCAGTGACCACACGAGTCTCGGCAGCTGCCCATGTTGGAACATCCATGCTTTGAACTTTTCTTGCGGGCCCGACATTTTTATCTTCCTCAGCCACTCAATCGACTGCTTCTACATATTGACAATACTGCTTGTATCTTGACAAGAGCATTACCTGCTTACAGAAAGCACTAGCTTACTGGATAACCAAGGAAAACCTACATATATATTTTCCAATTTTTCGAAAGACGAAATACTAGCAAATCATTTTTTTTTGTTTTACGTTTTTTTCCCGAAAACCCACTAATGATAAGGATACGGACCTACATCGTTTGGTTTGGATTCTGATAATTCGCAAGAAATCTTATAAACAACGTTTTATCGCTGGCTCTTCTAGTTGCTCAACCCAGTCATTATCCAAACTCCTCACTACCATCCACATTACCATTAAATCAGAGTTGCAGTCGTGCTGTATGCATACCGTATACTCATGAAGTGGAATAAACGGTTTGTGGATTTTGAAGAATTCAAAAGATCTTTTAATCAGTTTTGAACAACCTCTTTTCAAAACTTCTTACTTTCGACTTTTACACTTCCATAATTCATACCAAACTGAAGAAACACCTTCCATCTTTTGTTATTAGAGCTTTCTTTTCTAAGAAAGGCGAAGGGCGACATAAATATATGGTCGTAAATTACTCCAATTGGAGCATGTTTTGTAAAAAAAAGTACAACAAAGGAAAAATGAAATATATGAGGACGTTAATGTGAAAATGATTAAGTTCCTGGTTGAAGACTCTAGGCATCCCTATGGGATAAACTACCTCTCTTCTGGCCAATTTGTTTTTGTTTTCATGTAAAGCTGAATTTTTTAATGAGCTTATCAGGACTGGTAACAATGACCTAGCTTAGTCAGTTCACATTAAGATAAATTGACGATGTCCCGTCTTTGAATAACAGGAAATTAATTGATCACATCGATCGTATAAACCCTCCTGAATTTATAATCAAGGACATCACAGACTCTTCTATTTCATCCACCATTTATATTAACAACATGACCAACAGGGACGGCTAACTACAAACTGTACGATAAGCGGGATAATTGACATTTTCTCATTATGAGCTTTCCCTTTCTCAATAGTAATATCCCTGCTTCCCTACCTACAGTGTTTTTTGGGGGGTTTTGTTTGTGAAAGATTTATTTCTGTAAAAATAATATATTTGCTCATATTGCACTCATACTGAAAATGCAAAATCTCATTACAATTGTGTGCAAAGGTTTTACATTTTATTATGCTATTAAGAACAAAGTGGATGCATAGAGATATAATTAAAACAATCAATATGCGCATGTGAAAGTATGAAAACAAATTAATCATCAACATTTGAATTTTTGATACTTTTAAACCAAACAAATCATGGAAATCTAGCCCCAAAATCACTGACACAAATAAAAGATTGAGCTTAATATATAGGGGATTTAAAAAGTTGGAAAAATTATTATTATTGGCTATTTGGCTGTCAATGACATTTTTCCTTCATGCACATTTGTTGGTTATTTCTTATTTAATGAAAGTGTTACTGCAAACGAGTGTATCATACAATAATGAAACAACAGGAAAAAGTTGTTCAGGAAAATTCAATTCTGGCCTTGCATGTTTTTCTTTCAGAAAATTTTGTTTCGTTTGTGTGTAGCATTCCCTTCCCTTCTGGTATTTTTCATTTCCTGCACTGTTTGTTCTCAGTGCAATACACATTATTACAGAGTAATTAAATATTAGAGTGCATACAAACAAAATAATAATATACAATAAAACATAAAAAAACAAAATCATTCTCATTTATTTTATAAAAAAATAATTCCAATTTGAACTGTAAAACATCTTACAGTTTTTTAGTATGTGTGAAAATGCTATGATCATTTCTTCAGAAAGTCTTTGTTCATATCAGCCTTGGTCCTTTGAATATTGTACTTGTTCCGTTTGATCCTGTCTGCCACCGAGCTTTTCTCTGCATGACTGGACATCATGGTACTAAAAACAGGGAAAATTGAAGAAATCAACATTGTTAAAAAACACACAGAATGAATTTTTCTCATATCAAAAATAAAAAAAGAGGCATGGTAGTCTAGTGGTAGGACGCCTGGCTTGTGACCAAATGGTTGTGGGTTCAAGTCATGTCACGGCACTGTGTTGTATATTTGAACAAGATACTTTACTCCGCTTGTTCCATTCTACTCAGCTGTAAATGAGCATGTGGTTGGGCAGTGCTGGAATTATTGAATGCTACTAGTGAGTGCCTAAAAGGCAGCACTGGCTGTATGCTCTCCAGGGAGTTGAGGAAGATATTGGCTGGTTGCAAAAGCCCAATAACCACGGATAATAATTTGTGAACCACTTTCAGAGGACCTACAAACTCGGTTGTGATAAAGTGTTATATTAAAGAACCTCAAATTATTACTATTTGAATTACGTTGGCTGAGGTGACCAGTCATTATGAATATCAAACGTACAGATGTGCGGTATTACTGCTATACCAGTATAATGGAAGTAGGACTAAACTCCATATTAGGAAATGGGTTGGTTCCTTTATGTCATTTTCATCTTACACAAGTAAGTTTATTTTTAAATAGTATAAAGACATGAGGTTTACTGAAAGTCTTATACAATTTGAAAATTAACTAACAAGAGTTAGATAAACATGATAGTCAACCATCACGAGCCCGGGGACGTTTTTCTCCCACGACATTCTGATATCATATCTAGAAAAACAATATGTTTCTCTTGGGTAGACATTATTCCTGTTTCCGATCGGGGAAACAATTGCCATGAACTATGACATCACAAAGGAAGGTAAGGCTGCAAAGTACTGTTACTGGAGGTCATAATTAGAAGATTGACCAATGAAATCACGTCCAGGGTGTTACCCACTAGTGGGTCACCAAAAATGTTTACAAACTCCTAGCACGGACTAAGATAATTCCGTGCTTCTAGGAAGTTAATCCAATGAGTTGGGAGTGAGGTATCCTCGATATCCAGGGGTTACATTCACTTTTGCTCTCGGCACCCCTGAAATATGTCATAGCAAAATCGAAGGCACTTGGCTAGCCGATTGGTCTCAGGTAAAGAACAAACTGACCAGTCGCTAGGCTGATACCTGTCCTTTGAAGATTACAGAGGAGCGATACTCGACTTCAAAGCCATTCAATTTTACCGTTATGCGACTGCAAGATTCTTTTGATGTACACTGAGCCTTCAATTTTGTTATGTGTAATGACATATTCCAGGAGCACAGAGAGCGAAAGAGAGCATAACCCAAGGAGTTTCAAGGATGGGAATGAGGAAACCTAGTGATAGTAGGAGAAATGGTAGTGTAGTTACCACTTGAAAGTGAGAGTAGAACTTGTACATACTTTATAAACTTGTCATCTTTTGTGTCCTGTTTGTGACGCAAGGCTTCCTGTTCTTCCTCCTCCCTGTAACGACTGACGTTCTGTTTACGCTTATCCTCACGCCAAGTGGCATTGCTCATCATTTCCTCAACCTTTCGTTTTTTCTCCTCAGATGTCAGTTTTCTAGTAAAATTTAAAGCAAACTGACAGTTTTTGTGGGACGATTTCCTAATGATGGTGCAAATATATTTTTCTCGTATTATGAGAAAGTTTTCCACTACCTTTCATAAAACAGGAACCCCTATCTTGAGCTGTTACTTCTGACCATACAGCAGCAACATGGAATTAGTAACTAACACATTTTAATATTGATAACAGCAAAACAATACAATACAAGTATATTTAGTGTTTATTTTGTCATTTTGACCAGAAAGTAGACAGTAAATGGTCTGGTTTTCCTTGATTCTTATTGGCTAATCTTTCGTCTCATGTTCGCCAATATAAAGCTAATATTGACCTCATATTTCTATTTTTGTCTTCCATGTGAACCTATCAACCTTATGTTTCTATTTGTCTTGTACATGACCATCCCAACCTCATGTTTCTATATTCAGATTGAAAGTTTTATTCTGAAAACCCATTTCTGATTCTACCTATTTGGAAATCTAATATCTCCTGTGATCTGAAGACATGAAATGTATTATATTAAGGACTTTTTGTCTCAGTTGATATGTCGTTAAAGGGACCTAAAAAAGAAATATCAGATTGTGTCCTTGGTTGATATCACTCTATCAGGTCCATATAACAAGGTATCGACCTCGAAAAAAACTCAATAATGGAAAATTAATATGGAAAAACTATTTTCTTTCTTTTTTACGTCCTTCGTCCTATAGTATACATTTGTTGACTGGGTAATTTGAGGACAACATGTGTTATGTTGAACCAGAGGACCAAACTGTTGCCTGAGGCCGAACATGTTAACCGAAAACTCAGTCTACAAATGTTTTGTTATAACTTCTATCATTGATTTCTACGAAAACAAACCATTCATTAAGCAAACACATACATTACAGACGGCCCAAAGCAGACGTGAGCAATACTTCCTATAGGGATGCCACTATTGGTAATTGCTTAACGGCGGAAGTTGCCGAGTAATGGCGGGGAAGTACCGAATAGTAATGAGCTTTAGTAATAGTAGTAAGCAGTCAACATTTCACTCAAATCCAGTCAACATTTCTATGTTGACTAGTCAACATTTTTCTGAGTCAAACATCTGGAATTTCGAACTTTTTTCCACTATAGAAGAGTATAGAGAATACAAAGTAAAGATATAACCCTTTCGTCAATTAAGATAATGACATCATTACCATATCTGAGGGGATGTTGTTGAGGCGACCTAATAATTACAGTACTAATGGCAAAATTATCTAGATATAAAGAGGGGCTGAAAGAACATGACAGTTACATAGGCACAAGCACTGGTTCAAAGTAAGATATTTTCATAAAGTTTCATTAACATCCATGTCATAATGTAGAGGTTGCAAACTTGACTAGGTTTTGTAAGAAAATTAAGGTTTATAACTCTTTCAATGCAGGCAAAGGGTAAGATGTTTCATTGAGAGAAGCATGGACAAAATTGTGTCTACAGACAGTCAGTCAGAGAGACAGATAAACGGACTCCAGTAGATAATTTATAACCCCTCATCAAAATTGTTGTGGGGATAGTGTGCTTCCTATCTTCCAGCCTGTTTTTGGTCACCCTTAATATTTAAATACCAAATTTGCCATGAATTGTTGAAGTGTGCATTTCTGTTCTATTTAACATGTTTTTAAAGACTTACCTCCCCTTTTACATTTTGACATGTCACAGAAAATACAAATGCAGAGACGGAGAAAATATTTAATGCTAAACATTTATCCCATAACAAAACCTTCAAAGCTAAAAAACTTGGCCCTTTATTTAAAAAATAAAATTTGAAGAATTCAGCTGATATACCTTGGAGGAGTCTGTCTTCTTCTGTCTTTGTCTCCATACTTTGAAGGTTTTCTTGTGTCTGGAGTCCTTGACCTTCCTCTGGGCGACCTTGACCTCCTTCTTGGAGACCTTGACCTTCTATGTGATACTGGTGACCTTGAGCGGTGGGGAGGTGATGGTGCTCTAGATTTTTCAGATTTTCTGTCAGCCTCCGTTTTTATTTTGTTCTTCTGTATAAATATATATTATATAAAATAATGTATCATTAAATTGTCCATACCAGCTGGTAATGATTAACAAGTACACAGGATATAAAACATTCTCAATGTGTAAACTTTCCACACTTGCCATTTTATAACCTGAATTAAAAGTTCTCGGTACTGTGATTTTTTGGCACCATTTTTGGGATCACAATTTCACCTTTTACCCTGGATGATTTATGCAATGTTTTACTAAACTCCCTATATTTTCTTTTGTTATTATATAAATTTTAATCATTTTTGAGTTCTTAATAAAATACCATGACGAACATTTTAATTGTTAGGTGAAAATTTTGAAAAAAAAAGAGGCACAGACATAGGTATATATACTGTAAAGAAATGAGAAAATTACTGGAGTAAAATCAAAATTAAGTAACTCTGAAGTCATATATACATTACCCAATAATAAATATGGCTTACGTTAACAATGAGGCCATATTTCTTTCCTTTGTATCTTTGATTATCTTCACTGGAATCATCACTGCTGTCACTGCTGTCACTGGTGCTCCAGTCATCACTTGATGGTTGTCTCCCTTTCTCAGACACACTGTGTCTACCTGGATGTGGCTGCTCTTTTCGATGTTTAGATGAAAAATGATCAGACTCATTCCTTTTGTCTGACACTTTATTTCTTTTGTCCTTTGACCCTTTTCTGCCGTCAGTCTTGTCTGAATCACTGTCATGCCTGTTTCTATGTAATTTTTCTCCTTTCCTGAAAGAGCTTTTATGTCTTGAATTTGAATCACTATCAGAGTCTCGCTGATGTTTGTTTCTAATATGAAAATCTGCACGACTCTTTGAATGTTTAGTTCTTTGGTCATCAAAGTCCTGTCTATGTTTCTTTCTAGGAAAATCTTGTTTTCTTGCAGGGCGATCACTGTCACTGTCATCTGAATCATTTGAGTGTTTGCGATGAGAATCACTGTGTTTTGGTTTGTCATGTTTCCCCGTTTGTTTTTTGTTTAAAATTGACAAATATTTCTGCATAATGTCATCTTCTTCAGAATGTTTGTGTTTTTTCTTTTTCTTATTTTCCCTTTTCTGTTGTTTTTCTAACTGAAAAATAAATAAATTACTACCTGCATTTTATATTTCCTTTTTACAACAGTTACACAATCATGAATTTGTAAAATTTGATACTTTATGAATTCTATTTTACCTATAAATACCGGTAATTCAACATTCCATTCAGTTGGGACAGTATTTGGCACTTCCTGCAGTAGAATAAATAGTAGTCAAGTGATACACAGAAGGCAATTTACAATCCTTGAAAGTCAAAAGCCTGATTAATGTCTAAGCAATCTATTACACGAGTCTAAATTGAGTGTAGTCCAATGAAAATCTTAACAGGACAAGTCATACTCACACTTTTCTTAAGCATTTTCATTTTGATTGGGTTCTCCAACAGACGTTTTTTCGCTTCCTCCTCACGCTTTCTAAAATGGAAAAAAGTCAAAAGAAAAATTGCATGGGGTACAAAATATAACATCGACAGGAAAAGGGCACATCTATGGGAAACGTCAGACTAATACTACCTTGTTTCCAATAGTGTTGTCAGAGTCACTAACTCCTTCTTGCTTGGTATTATAAGTAGGTCTCCAAAATAATGGAGATGTTAGGTTAGTTTATTTACTAGTTCTTGCGAAAATTCACTAATCACATGCTAGAGGACTAGTGTTTAAAGTCAAACCCTGATCGTAACAAGTGATGTCAGACTGGTATCTGACTGTTGGTAAAGTAACGAGTGACATAAGACTAAAACTTTGTTGTTATAGTAACGGGTGACATGATATAATTATCTGACTGTTGGTATAGTAATGGGCGACATAAGACTAAAACAATGTTGTTATAGTAATGAGTGACATAAGACTTAAACTATGTTGTTATAGTAACAGGGGACATAAGACTAAAACCATGTTGGTATAGTAATGGGCGACATAAGACTTAAACTATGTTTGTATAGTAATGGGCAACATAAGACTTAAACTATATTGTTATAAGAACGAGTGACATAAGACTAAAAAGTGACATAAGACTTAAACTATGTTGTTATAGTAACAGGAGACATAAAACTAAAACTATGTTGTTATAGTAACAGGTGACATAAGACTAAAACTCTGTTGGAATAGTAATGGGCGACATAAGACTAAAACTATGCTGGTATAGTAATGGGCAACATAAGACTTAAACTATATTGTTATAAGAACGAGTGACATAAGACTAAAACTATGTTGTTATAGTAATGGGCGACATAAGACTAAAACTATGCTGGTATAGTAATGGGCAACATAAGACTTAAACTATATTGTTATAAGAACGAGTGACATAAGACTAAACCTATGTTGTTATAGTAATGGGCGACATAAGACTAAAACTTGGTTGTTATAGTAACAGGCAACATAAGACTAAAACTATGTTGTTATAGCAACGAGTGACATAAGACTAAAACTATGTTGGTATAGTAATGGGCAACATAAGACTTAAACTATATTGTTATAAGAACGAGTGACATAAGACTAAAACTTGGTTGTTATAGTAACAGGCAACATAAGACAAAAACTATGTTGTTATAGTAACGAGTGACATAAGACTAAAACTTGGTTGTTATAGGAACGGGTGACATAAAACTAAAACTATGTTGTTATAGTAACGAGTGACATAAGACTAAAACTATGTTGATATAGTAACGGGTGACATAAGACTAAAACTATGTTGGAAAAGTAATGGGCGACATAAGACTAAAACTATGTTGTTATAGTAACAGGCGACATAAGACTAAAACTATGTTGTTATAGTATGGGCGACATAAGACTAAAACTATGTTGGTAAAGTAATGGGCGACATAAGACTAAAACTATGTTTGTATAGTAATGGGCGACATAAGACTTAAACTATGTTGGTATAGTAATGGGCAACATAAGACTTAAATTATGTTTGTATAGTAATGGGCAACATAAGACTAAAACTATGTTGTTATAGTAATGGGCGACATAAGACTAAAACTTGGTTGTTATAGTAACGGGTGACATGAGACTAAAACTTGGTTGTTATAGTAACAGGCAACATAAGACAAAAACTATGTTGTTATAGTAACGAGTGACATAAGACTAAAACTTGGGTGTTATAGTAACGGGTGACACAAGACTAAAACTATGTTGTCATAGTAATGGCTGACATAAGACTAAAACTTGGGTGTTATAGTAACGGGTGACACAAGACTAAAACTATGTTGTTATAGTAATGGCTGACATAAGACTAAAACTTGGTTGTTATAGTAACAGGGGACATAAGACTAAAACGATGTTGGTATAGTAATGGGCGACATAAGACTAAAACTATGTTGGAAAAGTAATGGGCAACATAAGACTAAAACTATGTTGTTATAGTAACAGGCGACATAAGACTAAAACTATGTTGTTATAGTAAGGGGCGACATAAGACTAAAACTATGTTGTTATAGTAACAGGTGACATAAGACTAAAACTCTGTTGGAATAGTAATGGGCGACATAAGACTAAAACTATGCTGGTATAGTAATGGGCAACATAAGACTTAAACTATATTGTTATAAGAACGAGTGACATAAGACTAAAACTTGGTTGTTATAGGAACGGGTGACATAAAACTAAAACTATGTTGTTATAGTAACGAGTGACATAAGACTAAAACTTGGGTGTTATAGTAACGGGTGACACAAGACTAAAACTATGTTGTTATAGTAATGGCTGACATAAGACTAAAACTTGGTTGTTATAGTAACAGGGGACATAAGACTAAAACGATGTTGGTATAGTAATGGGCGACATAAGACTATGTTGTTATAGTAACGAGTGAAATAAGACTAAAACTATGTTGTTATAGTAACGAGTGACATAAGACTAAAACTTGGTTGTTATAGTAACAGGCAACATAAGACAAAAACTATGTTGTTATAGTAACGAGTGACATAAGACTAAACCTATGTTGTTATAGTAATGGGCGACATAAGACTAAAACTTGGTTGTTATAGTAACAGGGGACATAAGACTAAGACAATGTTTTTATAGTAACGGGTGACATAAGACTAAAACTATGTTGGAAAAGTAATGGGCAACATAAGACTAAAACTATGTTGTTATAGCAACGAGTGACATAAGACTTAAACTATGTTGGTATAGTAATGGGCAACATAAGACTTAAACTATGTTGGTATAGTAATGGGCAACATAAGACTTAAACTATGTTGTTATAAGAACGAGTGACATAAGACTAAAACTTGGTTGTTATAGTAACGGGTGACATGAGACTAAAACTTGGTTGTTATAGTAACAGGCAACATAAGACAAAAACTATGTTGTTATAGTAACGAGTGACATAAGACTAAAACTTGGTTGTTATAGGAACGGGTGACATAAAACTAAAACTATGTTGTTATAGTAACGGGCGACATAAGACTGAAACTATGTTGGTATAGTTATGGAAGACATAAGACTAAAACTATGTTGTTATAGTAACGAGTGACATAAGACTAAAACTTGGGTGTTATAGTAACGGGTGACACAAGACTAAAACTATGTTGTTATAGTAATGGCTGACATAAGACTAAAAGTTGGTTGTTATAGTAACGGGTGACATGAGACTAAAACTTGGTTGTTATAGTAACAGGCAACATAAGACAAAAACTATGTTGATATATATATACAAGATATAGTAATGGGCGACATAAGACTAAACTTAGTTGTTATAGTAACAGATGACATGATAAAATTATCTGACTGTTGTTATAGTAATGGGTCATGTAAGGCTATCATCTTTTTATTGATGCCATAAATGCTATCATTACAAAACTTCCATGGAACTGTCCTTGGTATTTTGTATATATATACAATCCGCCTGAAGAAGCCCTAGAAGGCAGAAAGGCCTAGCGGACGATCTGAAAAATTTGTTTTTATTCTATATTTTCCTTCGCAAGGACTTATTTATTTATTATCTACTATATATATATATATATATCTTTTTAAGGATAGGGAGTCATATCCAGAATAATAGACTTTAGTAGAGCTACTGTTTGTAATGTAAGAAGTGTCAGACGCCTTTACAGTGCTGGGTGGTAGCTAGATATAGAGGGGAGATAACTCACCGTATAGCAAACAGTGGGTCTTCTCTAGCCTTTGCAGCCATGTCCAGGGCAATGTTGGCCTTAATTCTCTCCCCAAATATGTCATCTGAAATAAAATTTCATCACAAAGCATAAATTTACAAATCTTTATTCAATTAAGGTCTATTTCATTTAGACCTGGTATCACATTTAAGTTGATGTGGCTAAAAGTTCTATAGGCAATTTCTATATTCAAAATTATTCTGTAAAAGAAAAACACATTTAAGGTGTAAACTAAAGACAATATGTGTTTCATCATATGCAAAACAAAACTTTTATGATACATTTTTAAATATGCAATACCTGTATTTATTAAAGTAGTATAATTCCAATGATTCTAAATTCATTTTGAAGTCAAAATAAATATAAAATATTTCCCTAACTTATATACTCAACTACAAAAAGGAATTATCTTTATACATTGTATAATTAGAAGGAATCATACATTATAAGTCTAATACATTGTAATTTGTTTATTACATTTAGCTGGAATAGTGTATAATGGATAATACACTATTTAATCTAGGTGGAATGTTATATTATAAATCAAATACACTATTAAATTAACTGTAATAAGGCAGAATAAAGTTTGGTAAATGTACAGTGTATCATTATTTTGATTTTATCTTAATCTCAATCTGATCAGGCTAAATCAGCGATATCTGTACAAACAAAGCCAAGAGTGTCAGATATATCTTAACGTGTGTATAGGGTAATTTTCATGGCAGGATTACTTTTACAGTTTTTAGGATAAAATACATCGATGAAAATAGCCATACCAATGAAAATTTTTCAAGTAATAGTAACCACACCAATGCAAATTTCAAGTAAAAGTAAATCTACAAACTTTCAAGTACGCTAAACCATTACAATTCCAATTGCTCTGACTTGTGCTTACCTGGCTGTGGAGGTTCATCTTTTGTCTCAACATGTCTATCTACACGTTTTCCTAGGAGGTAGTCTTCCTCGCTTGGTTTTTCTCCCTTGTACATCCAATCCATCGCAGGTGCTGACCTGAAACATAAGCAGGTGATTCGCTATAGCATAAAAACACTAGTAAGAGCATGCAAACACTAATTATTATGCACCCAATCCAGTTTTCAATATAAAACAAAACTACCACATAAGATAAAATTATTTCACCAATCTAATGACCTTTTCTTTCAGGCTATGTAGCAGGAAACTTCATATATTTTGTTTTGGTTTCATCAACTCCACGAAAGAAAAGTAGGTTACCTATGATATCAGACACATAAATAAGTCTCTAACCTTGGTAAACATTAATGCATTATAAATACTGCTAGGTGAAAGATCCAGTCATGTAGCCTTTTATATGTTGTCTGTCCCGTATTAGTGTCATAAGGCGCGCATGGAGTGTTGTGAGAATGTGGCATGCACAATATTTATATATACACACACCACCCTGTGTGTCGTATTCGTACGCACACGTCACCACCCTCATTTACTTCACACTATGCTGCTGAGCAGGACAGAGCTCACCCATCCTTCCCAGATCCCCGGTAAGTCTCATTATATTTTATCAAACTGTATATTGCAGGTTAATGTAATCATACAATCATTCCTGTGATGTTATACATGTAGTTAAATAACAATGTATCCATTGAATTTGTATAGTCATAAAGTGAAGGTCATTCTTGTAATCTCGATATATTAGACTCACTTTCGCTCTCTACTCCCCTGGAATATGTCATAGCAAAATCGAAGGCTCAGTGTGCAGCACTTTGAAGATGAGACGAGAAGACTAGTTTGATCCTTTGATGTACATCAAAAGAATCTTGCGGTCACATAATGGTAAAAATTGACAGGCTTAAGTCGGGCGTCTCTCCTATGTAATTTTCAAAGGACAGATATTAGCCTAGTGACTGGTCTGTTTTTTTTTTACCTGAGACCAATCAAACAGCTATCTCTGTGCCTTCAATTTTGCTATGACATATTCCATGGGTGTCGAGAGCGAAAGTGAGCGTAACCCCTGGATATCCAGGATGAGTGAAGGCAGATCGTGTACATTTTAACTATTAAAGTGATAGTTTTGTATCTTGCTGCTCAGAGATTTCTGTGTGTATTACAAAGATACAAAGACCCTGGAAAGTGTACCAAGTTGTTCTTTTGAGTCCAAGGATCACAAGAGTTACATTGTCACAGTGACAAAATATTGCTGTAACTGTCAACTTACTCTTTTTCCCTCATCATTTCTTTTACTTTTCTTTTTTCTGTGTCCTCCATGTTTGATGACTTTTACCATCAACAACTTCTTCAAAGTAGTTTTACAATGTTTCTGAAAAAGTTAAAAAAACCAATTTGATATTTGATAAAATAATAAAGACATTCAACTCAGAGGTACAATAGCGCAATAGACCTAAAATAAAGCTCACAAATATCATGTTGGTTCAGGTTGTGTTGACTTGCATTCATTTGGAATGAACAACATGGCTGTATTTAGTCATTGATGTTGTAAGAATTTTTAGATGAATTCCAGTCAAATTGAAAATTTCTTAAAATCCTTTTTGATTAGGTCATCATCCTGGACATTAGAAGGATTTTCTCAAAGTTTTCTCCCTAAAAATGACTACATGGATAAGGACACGTGATTCCACTGAATATATCACAACTAAGCTCAAAGCCAACACGGCTGACTGAAGGTGAGAAAAGGCATGCAAAGCATGACAACCACAATGACGTCTGATCTAACCTTCACATTGTTTACTCCTATAACACAAGAGGTGGCTGGTCACCTATTTTTTACTGGATATGATAATATTATGCTGGCTGCGACAACGCTTGTCCAAAGGAAAGGGTGACGCGCCCTGTTTTAACCTCTAACAGTGTTAACGTTGCATTGATTGATGTACACTGTTTATAACAGGTTCTCCCTCAGAAGATCTGGCTTGACTCATGTGCTTAGCCTTGTAAGCTTCATAATAAGTTGTGTTACGTTCAATGGAAAAAAACCATGTCATTATTCTGGAAATTTGAAGCCTTTCTTGCTGTTTTCTCGATAATAGTCACTTAATGGGGTACTTCAGGATTACATGCACAGGTAAAAAAATCATTATCTGTAATGTTCAAGGTTGTGCCTGAGCACAAAATTACTGTGTTCAAATGTCACATTTCAGACAAAAGAAAAAACCCATTTTCGACAAACTGTTTCAATAATGGTCATAATTTACATTGTACTAAATATTTGATAACCAAACTGCTTCCACGTTCCTATATTTTGAGGGAAAGTGATGAGCCCACAACAATTATTCTATACTGATGGAAGCACAGATGAAATGCCTTGAAACTAACACAGCCAGACCACCACCCAGAACCCTTCAGACTTTAGGCAGACGCTAAAACCAATTGAGCTACTAGTATATATGGTGATGGACCAAGTCCAATTCTGCTACATTCCTTCCCCTTTTTTCAAAATCATTGCCTAGTGTAGACCTTATGCTTAAAAACAAGGGTTGGTCACAGGTGCCACTGGAGCTGAAAAATGTGCAACCAGACTGGGATTCAAACATGGAACCCTCCAAAATCAAGACAGATGCTCAAACCAGTTGAGCTACTTAGTCACCAGTGATCTACCCAGTCAGTTCCTCTATGATAAAAAATTGGCACTCAACGAAATATACCCACAGATGGTGGTATGGGGTGTGTTTTTCGGAACTGGACTGGTTCGATTGTCACCCACCAGGTATCTAAATTGGATAGAACGTCCTTCTAGAGTTCGGTAGGTCACGGGTTCGAACCCCGGTCTGGCAGTTACATTTCTCTTTCTCCTGTTACAATATTTACATACATAAAGATTGTGATTATGATTATGACTGTGGTTTTCCTCTTCCTAAAACGAAACAAAAAATCTTATCACTGTATATAATCCCTTTTTTCACGCCTCTGTGCACAGCTTCCCGAAGACACAATCATGGTGTCTCTGTAAACTAAAGTAGAACCATTGTGGATAGTGGATATGAAAGCGGCCCATGGCCCTGCTTTGTTGTTTTTATAGTACAAAGTATCAACAACCCGTTAAAATAAATAGAGCATCATCAATTAAACTATTCAGTAAGTAAACACACCCCTAGTGTCTCCTCTGACCACAAACGTGAACACAAAACCGACGTTTTTCCCTCGGGTTCCAAGCACTTGAGACACAAAGATTGTGAGAATCCCGATTTAAAAACGCTTAATTGGCATATACTAATTTAAAAACGTCGTACGGACATAGCTATTTACGGAAATACTAATTTGCAACGACCATATATTCACTTTTTAACAAAACTGTTATCTTTCCTCTCATTGATATTCTTCATTAACAAATGCCGTTCAATACAAATATTTACATTCAAAATTGTATAGATTTAAATCTATGTATTCCTTGTAAGGGGATGAGGACAAAACCCGGAATGCACTCAGGCGTGAAGAGGTTTTGGTTGAATTTTTGTATATTTAATTTTGCCTATCTCCCCCATAATATTTTTTTTGGTATATATCGTTTATACCTAAAAAGAAAAACAACTGAAGACGGAACTACTTATTACACTTCAGAATGCAAAATCACAACGCAGCTTTTTTTAGCGCAATTGTTTAGTTTACGTAAAAATTAAATAAATCTTGAACTGTGCATTTACAACGTGTTTGTCTACTTTTTTTAAATTAAATTATAAAGAATGACCAATATTTTTTTTTGGTATTTACGGTATATACCGAAAAGAAATTGTGCACTTTTTTGCATAAACCGCAATTTTTTTTCGGTACATACCGTATATACCAAAAAAAAATCTGTTCTTTAACAGAAGAAATATTTTTTTCTGATAGTGCATTTATTGTATATATTCACGTTCTTATAGGGAGGTATATGTTATGTTTGTTATGTACCCCAGGTCTCAGACAACCGGTTACACCCGACAGTAGAGAAACGTCTCTGCTTCCGTTAGGTACAGTACTTTGGTTCTGTCAGTGTGTCGGCAGAGGAAATTCTATTATTTTAATAAAAGATGGGATGGTGGGTGGTGGGATGGGTGATAATGGAAGGTGAAGTAGGTTCACGGAAATGATTTAAACAATAAGATTTTTTTTATTTAGGTGCAAAAAAGACCAGCTGGGAGCATTACAGTCATAATGATTTACTTTGATTTACATCTTTTTTAAAGAATAAACCAAGTTAAAATGGCGGCTTTGATGTGCGAGGATTATTTTTCATGACACATTAGAACACGAACTCCTTTTTAATTAACTATTCAATTTCAAAAATATCCTCAGATATTAGTTATTTGATAACATTTCTAACCAGGTTTTTAGAATGAGGTTGTTAAAAAACGTATGAAGTTCGATAATTTAGCCCTGAAAATACAGGTCTTTTAAGAATAAACAAAAAAAGTTAAAATGGCGGCTTTGACGTGTGAGAGTTTTTTCTTTCATGACTCATTGAAACACGAACTCCTTTCTAATTCATTCTCTATTTTCAAAAACATCTTCAGATATTTATTCAAACATAATATTTCTATCCAGCTTTTTCAAATAAGTTGATTTTACAATATTTGCATAGTTTGATAATTGAATAAAGAATAAACAAGTTCATATGTCGGCTGTGATGTGCGAGGGTTAAATCCCTTCATGATGCCGGCACTCCTTTAGTCTAAACATATTTCATTGCCAAAAAAATGCAAAAGGATTGGGCACAAGTTACATGAACATTATTAACGCCCTTTCCTTATAAGATAAATAACTATATATACACATCATAGGCTGGCGACACATGGAAAGAGTATCCGTCCGAACATTCAACCTGGTAAGGGAAAGGTCCCGCGGGCTGGGGATGACCCCGACACTGGAGACAAGCATCATGAGGGTCCCTTTCCACGAAGAAATGGGAACATCCATTAGCTGTGCCCCTATAACAACAATCAGATAATGATATCATATCACTCGTTACTATAACAACATAGTTTTAGTCTTATGTCGCCCGCTACTATAACAACATAGTTTTAGTCTTATGTCGCCCGTTACTATAACAACATAGTTTTAGTCTTGTGTCACTCGTTACTATTACAACATAGTTTTAATCTTATGTCGCCCGTTACTATACCAACTGTCAGATAATTATATCATGTCACCCGTTACTATAACAACTAAGTTAAGTCTTATGTCACTCGTTTCTATAAAAACATAGTTTTAGTCTTGTGTCACTCGTTACTATAACAACATAGTTTTAATCTTATGTCACTCGTTACCATACCAACAGTCAGATAACAGTCTGACATTGCTTGTTACTATTAGGGTTTGACTCTAAAACTAGGCCTCTAGTAGGTGATAAGTGAATAAGATGTTATACCAACATTACTTGACAGATAAGTTACAAAATAAGAATATTTATTTTTGGAAACCTACTTAAAATACACATATATATTGCAAAATTACTGTCAAAATTTTCCTGAAACTTCACCATGTTTTTATGGCAGTAGTTATTTTATGTCCCTACAGTCAACTACTTTGTATGTTTCATGCTTCAAATGTTTCCTCCAGGAAAACTTGGACTAGTTTCGTTGACATAGGACTCGCAAATAATCTATTCAACTAGTCCTGTGGACTGCCAAGCAAAAAGGAGTTAGTGACTCTGACAACACTATTGGGCACAAGGCAGTATTAGTCTGACGTTTCCCATAGATGTGCCCTTTTCCTGTCGATGTTATATTTTGTACCCCATGCAATTTTTCTTTTGACTTTCTTCCATTTTAGAAAGCGTGAGGAGGAAGCGAAAACACGTCTGTTGGAGAACCAAATCAAAATGAAAATGCTTAAGAAAGGTGTGAATATGACTTGTCCTGTTATGAATTTCATTGGACTACACTTAATTTAGACTCCTGCAATAGATGGCTTTGGCACTACAGTATACAGGCTTTTGGCTTTCAAGGATTGTAAATTGCCTTCTGTGGATCACTTGACTATTTCCTATTCTACTGCAGGAAGTGCCAAATACTGTCCCACCTGTGGAATGTTGAATTATTTATAGGTAAAATGAAAATCATAAAGTATCAAATTTTACAAATACATGATTGTGTAATTGTTGAAAAAAGGAAACATAAAATGCAGGTAGTAATTTATTTATTTTTCAGTTAGAAAAACAACAGAAAAGGGAAAATAAGAAAAAGAAAAAACACAAACATTCTGAAGAAGATGACATTATGCAGAAATATTTGTCAATTTCAAACAAAAAACAAACGGGCAAACATGACAAACCAAAACACAGTGATTCTCATCACAAACACTCAAATGATTCTGGTGACAGCGATCGCCCTTCAAGAAGACAAGATTTTCCTAGAAGGAAACATAGACAAGACTTTGATGACCAAAGAATTAAACATTCAAAGAGTCTTGCAGATTTTCCTATTAGAAACAAACATCAGCGAGACTTAGATAGTAATTCAAATTCAAGACATAAAAGCTCTTTCAGAAAAGGCGAAAAATTACATAGAAACAGGCATGACAGTGTTTCAGGCAAGACCGACAGCAGAAAAGGGTCAAAGGACAAAAGAAATAAAGTGTCAGACAAAAAGAATGAGTCTGATCATTGTTCATCTAAACATTTAAAGGAGCAGCCACATCCAGGTAGACACAGTGTGTCCGAGAAAGGGAAACAACCATCAAGTGATGACTCGAGCAGCAGTGACAGCAGTGATGATTCCAGTGAAGATGATCAAAGATACAAATGAAAGAAATATGGCCTCATTGTTAACGTAAGCCATATTCATTATTGGGTAATGTATAAATCTTGACTTTACTCATGTTATTTTCTCATTTCTCTACAGTATGTATACCCTGTGCGTATGCCTCCTATTTTCTCAAAATTGAATTTTTTTTATTTTTATTTTTTAAGTCATTTCACCCAACAATTAAAATGTTCATCGGTGTATTTTATAAAGAACTGAAAAATAATTAAAATTTATAGAATAACAATAGAAGATATAGTTAGTTTAGGAAAATATTGCATAAATCATCCAGGGTAAAAGGTGAAATTGTGATCCCAAAAATGGTCCCAAAGAATCACAGTACCAAGAACTTTTAATTCGGGTTATGAAATGGCAAGTGTGGAAAGTATACACATTGATAATGTTTTATATCCTGTGTACTTGTTAATCATTACCAGCTGGTATGGACAATTTAATGATACATTAGTTTTATAATATATATTTATACAGAAGAACAAAATAAAAACGGAGGCTAGCAGAAAATCTGAAAAATCTAGAGCACCATCACCTCCCCACCGCTCAAGGTCACCAGTATCACATTGAAGGTCAAGGTCTCCAAGAAGGAGGTCAAGGTCGCCCAGAGGAAGGTCAAGGACTCCAGAAAAAGGAAAACCTTCAAAGTATGGAGACAAAGACAGAAGACAGACTCCTCCAAGGTATATCAGTTGAATTCTTCCAATTTTATTTTTTAAATAAAGGGTCAGGTATTTTAGCTTTTAAAGTTATTTTATGGGATAAATGTTTAGCATTAGTTTTTTCCCCGTCTCCTCAATTTGTATTTCCCGTGGCATGTCAAAATGTAAAAGGGGAGGTAAGTCTTTAAAAACATGTTAAATAGAACAAAAATGCAGACTTCAACAATTTATGGCAAATTTGGTATTTAAATATTAAGGGTGACCAAAAACAACCTGGAAGATAGGAAGCAACAATATGTAAAACCAGTCGATTAAATGGTTGAGGAAGATAAAAATGTCGGGCCCGCCAGAAAAGGGCAAAGCATGGATGTTCCAACATGGACAGCTGCCGACACTCGTGTGGTCACTGATGCTATTTGAGGTTCCTTTAACAACGGCGGAAATACTGGAGGGATCTATTAGCAGCTTCCTGGAGAGGTGGCTTTGATTCTGGCCAGTATCTCTTGCATTGTGCTCAGCAGCCGAGCATCTTTACTGCTACTCCAGCTGTCACCGGGGGTGAAGGAATTCAGAGTAACAAAGGCCAGACTGGTGATTACCATGCAAGATCTAGAGGATGAAAAATTAAGACAGTCAGGAATGTAGACATAAACAGGAAGGAAATGGTCTCCAAGCGAGTCTGTGTCAGAGCAACCTGCTCATGACAGCAATGGTCGAAGACAAATCCTCTCCAGTAGTGGAAATGAGCAGTCAATAGAAAAGATATAATGGTTCAAGGGAAAA